ATTAGATTGTTGGGTAATGAATAGACTGCGGATTTTTATGCAAAATGACATGTTATGAAGTAGTTTATTAAGACAGGAGCAAATGTAGGAACATCTTTTCTATATTAGGTATCTGATTGGGTTCGGAATAAACCAGAAAACCCGTTGTATCTGATGTAAGTTTCATACTTTATTGGATTTCGCAGAGCCCTATAGGCTATAAATGCATAAAATCCGCAGTCCAATAATGAATATCATTATTTCTGCTGTGTATTTACTACTTCCTCAAGGCCTCTGAGATGCTATAAAATGGCGTGCCAGCACTCGGAGACACCATGTTTAATAAAAAAAAATACAAAATATATAAAAACCATATTTGAACACTTTTCAAGTATCTGGAATGAAAAGTAACGACAATATATTTCATGGTTAAAAGGATTAAATCACGAGACTTTTAAATAGATTTTTGCATACACCCTGAAAAAATAAAATCATTGCAGCTCTTCCATATCATTTAAGGGTGAAACGATTAACAGATGAAGTAGTCAAATAAAATGGCAGGAATTTTAAAGTACAACGTAAGACCGTAGGGTGTCTCGTGGATGAAAAATATCCGGCGGGAACGGAAGATCGACGAGCGTTTTACGTGACAATGTCCTGTCTCCTTGGATGAGTTGTTGCGTCTCCTTTCGCCTCGGATAAGCCCACGTCCCGACGATTAACTCTTATCTTGTCCACCTGGCACCGATGTTAATAAGACCGACTTCCGTACGTAATCCACGTACAGTCTCGCGATACGCGACCGTGCGCAGCAGTCTTAGAAAGGAGAAGATACAAAAACGAAGGGATAGAACGAAAAGAAAAGGGAATCCAGTTGAAAACGTGGCCGTTCAGAAATACCACCCCAGCGTTTACAGTTCTGCATTTTATTAAACCGTTTATTGTCCCATAAATCGTGGATCGTATGGAAATAGATGGAATTCGCAGCAACGAGAAATTAAAAATGGCAACAAATCGTCGGAATCGGTGGAAATGTAATCGTAGAAAGTAAGAATTCTTGGATTAATGCTTATCCGCTACCCCCTTTTTACACTCGGAAGATTTAAGTCCCGGGGTACTGGGGTTATCTCTTTGCTTGTAATGGGAATAATGGAAGGGAAAGGCTTTTCTTTTCCTACCAACAATAGGGCTGAATTAATTTCTGGAATTATTCTGGTTCTGGCTTTTAAGGGCCGGTTGATTTTTAATTTGGGGTCGAATATACTCTCACTACCCGCTCATATGTATTCGGTCGTTACGTATGAAACTTGACAAATCATCGCCCGAGTTTTTAATTGGTCTAACTCCGTTTTTCGAAAAAATTTAGTTAATCAATCTAAGTGCGTCTCATTGGACCCAAGAATATAAATTCACTATAATATAAAGAAAATTAAATCCAGAGAGCAACAAATATTCTTTTAAGTCCTATCTCCGAAACTTTGAAAGTTTTTTTTTCTTAATGGTTGTATCTCCAAATACTAACAAGAAATAAAAATTTATGTTGATTATATGCTAGGGTAGTTTGTCCATTCGATTTTTGTTTGATGAGAATAATGAAAGGTACAATACGAAAAGGTAATGTTGTTACTACAACAAAGAAGGCAGAATGGAGAAAGGATGAGACAGTGGCGAAGTTGGTCAAAAGAAACTCCTCCCCCAGAGCCGGTTGCAATTCGACGAGAGGGAATTCCTGTTTCGCGGGAACCACGCCGCGAAAAACTTCATTTATTCGGCCAAGTTTTCCAATATCGAGATGAACAGCCTTAATACGCCTGCACGCCGAAATATGCGAGTGAACTCGACGAAGACGGAAGGGAAGAAGAGGGGGGAACAGAACGAAGTGGTCGGCCCCTTTCAGAGAATAGTTCAACTTCGTTTTCGGTGGCTAACCGTTTCTTCGATCGTCCACGAATTTCGAAAGCGAGGCACCGTTTGCTCCTAAAATTTCTGAATTGTCGACCTATTGGAATTTTTTACGATTCCTCGATTTCTAAGTGCCGAAGATTTCAAACGAAATTTAAGAATATTTAACCTTTTAAGAATAATTATGCATCTAAGACTATTTTATTGCGAAATTTAGGAATATTTCAACATTTAAGACTATTATATTGCGAAATTTATGAATATTTAATTCTTTAAGAATATTTAACCACTTAAGACTATTTTATTACGAAATTTAAGAATATTTAACCTCTGAAGGTTAAAATAAGTTACAAATTTTTTACTGATAGATTCAGACTGATATCGAAGAGGATGAAACGGTTAGAGAGCCTCACAAGCGATCCAGTTGGAAAAAGTTGTCCACCAACTTTACGACTATTTCTGCCTGATTGCATCAGTGGCGCACGTATTCACGTCTCGATTACATTCATGCGTAAGTAGCAATATATCTCACTTTCGAGCGTGGAAGACACGTATCCTCTAGATTGGCCATTATCCGCCCACCCACGACCACGGTATTAAGACGAAGCGACCAAGAACGTGCGCGTGGCGCATGAATTTGATTATTCCCCCTCGAACTGTAACCCACCGAGACACTGAATATTACACCGACACACCAAGACTATCTTTATTTACCCGACAGCTGCTTCCAATTTTATTTAATCCCGAAAATACACAATGTTCAATTTACATACGCAAATGACAAAAGAAAGTGTATTTCACAGTCCCTGATTAATTACTTTGTTTCAGAAAGAGAGAAAGCAGAAGAAAGAAAAATAAAGATTAGAGATCACCATTTCGAAAACAATTAGAAAAAAAATTACAGATCACCACTTCGCAAACGATTTAAAAAAAAAATTAGAGATCACCACTTTCAAGATATTTCGTATAAATTCTGAAAAAAGTGGCTCAATTCCGTGGATATTTTCAAGTTGTTCGTGATCAGAAGGGGTCATAGCCATCGCTACGGGGTCACGAGCGACTAGACTATGATCGTCCAGATACGAGCGATAAAAGAAGTGTATTTCACGGTGGCGCGGGTGTAACACACGAAGGAAAGCTGACTTACAAGGGTACGGCGGGTGCGCGAAATTTTCGCGCGATCTGCAGAACGCGATTTTCCGCGTTAACAGATTCTAGGAAAAAGTCGGGTCTGGAGGGGGAAGGGAGGGCGACGACGATAAAAATTTTACTCCGGCGGAGCTTCGATTATCGCCGGCCGAAAGAAATTTCCCGATATTGCGATAATAAAGGCGATACGCGTGGGATGCAAGATTAAACGAAACGCGACAAAGGGGGGGCTCCTCCTCGCCTGTAACGACGATAAAACTGCGATGACAATCGAATCTCTTGGCTATCGATGCAGCGACCATTGGTACACAAGCAGTATGCAGACACGCGTGCGTCGACGATGAATAATTTAAAACGCATTCGAAGACGTGACCTAGCCGCGTGCAACTAGTTTCAAGGAAATTGACGATGGAAGTAATTAACCTTGGTCTGAATCAAATGAATCGATAAGATTTGTCTTACGGTAGTTCTTGGGTAAACCGGAAAATTCGAGACTATTCTAAAATTTCGAAGAAGACTAATTTGGAGCACAAGAAAACCCTTGTGTAAAATCTAGATTCGCCGGACAATTGTCGAGGAATTGCTAATAAATTTTGACAGATTTTAACGGAGTAATATATGGCCAGATTTGGAAAGGAGGTTGTAGTTTAATTTTTGTCAAATGATACACACACAGTTTTTGTCTGACAGGCTAATGATAAAATAGGTTTACGTGCATTAATTTTAACTATTTCGACAAATTATTATTATTTTCATAGTATCGTACCACCTTTATATTTTTGCCTTGTACGTGGAAACACGACGACACGTGGACGAAACGTGAGAGAATGAACCTTCGGTGGTGGGGAAGAGGGAGGTTGGAAAAAATGGAAGAAACGAGGTAGAAAGCGGGCAAATAAACGAAGGACCTTGACTCGTGCTTTGAAAGTCGTTAATGACAGGTAATTAACACCGAGAATAATTGTCGACTGTTCGTTGATGCGCACCGTTCAAATGATAAAGAGGTCTAATGAAACAAAGTTGAGCCTTCAAGCATCGATAATCAATGTCTCCACGCGATAGTGGCAGACTGAAACATATTTTCACAGGTGTGACAACACCTGGTGATATTCGAAAACGAATGTAGTGTCTTCTGACATGGTAAAATACAATAGATGAATAATTGTACATTACTGCAACGATCATGGAAACTTTTACTAAAATGATTTATATATAAAACTTAATATTAACACTAGTATACTGTAATATAAAGTATATAAGAAGTTAGAGGTGAATATAAATTCCGATGAAAGTATCTCTGGATTTCAATAATTGTAAAATAAAAAATCTGGAATCCGTCATTTTCACGAGTTCGATAGTTCTAGTGTTAATTACCTGACCATAAATTGGATCGTTTTTACAGTCTTTCTTACGACTGATAAAATTAACCTGTGCAGCAATATTAAAATTTTTGTTACCAACCCTATTACATATCTGGAACAGTTAACATACTGCATTTCAACAAACCAATTCAAAATACATTCGTATCTTATATTAAACACAATCATTATTAATCATCAGACAGAAAATAAAATAACTTCACATTCGATAGAGTGCAATAATAATGTTAGACCATACTAAATGCAATTTTAATGGTCACATATATGTACAATATATGGGACACTGTTTTCAGACGCTTCAATAACTCGTGATTCCGGCAATATGCATTTTTAAAAAAAAACTCGATAAAAAGAAGGTGTCACAAAAACGACAGAAAAACCGTGGAGCGTGACGGAATGCAAAAAGCGAATCGATGCGTCATTAACGGTGCATTTTATGCGGGCAGAGAAGCCGATCGATCGGTAAAATTCGCCGGCTGTCCGCTGCGTTGATGACTTTCACTTTTACCACGCGGAAATGCATCATTTTTGCATATAACGGAAGGGAAGGAAAAAAAAACGTAAGTACGAAACAAAACGAGTTCGACGTACCTTGTGACTTTGGACGAACCTGGGCCCGCGTGCTCGTTCCAGGATCCTCCTCGAGAACTGTTGATCTATGGAGATAAGGATTTCGGCCAATTGGAAACTATTCTCGAAACGGCGGTTCTATTTTCACAAGCACTCGTTCGATTTTCGGGCTGCGAATGAAAACGACCTTGTGAACATTCTATCTCTATTTCTCCCTCTCTTGTGATTATATTCGCGGGCAGCTAGTTGTTGGAATTTTCAATTAAGACTCGGAGAAATATTATCGGTTAAACGACTTCATTAAAGATTCCTGCGGTGGTACCATTCGATATTTGCACACGGTCAAGTGAAATTTTTTTTTTTTAACGCTAGAACTACAAATGTTGAATATGCACTATATAATATAATAATATATATACCATATAGTATAATTTAGTATAATCTAGTATCACATAAAATGTGTAATAAATTAAAGGTCAACATAAATTCCGTCGAAAGTATTGTTATAGCTTCCATAATTGTGAAATACTAAATCTGCAATCCGTCATTTTGACAGGTCTCGTAGTTCTAGTGTTAAAAACTACGAGACATTCAAGGTGTGTATAGCTAACGTATCGAGGCCATTTTTTCGTGAATCTTGAATACACATCAGGTAAATATTCGACGAAGATAAACGAAATATTTGCACGACTTGCAAACCTTACCTGTATGTAATAATTCACACAATACGAAGAAAGGTTGCCGATAAAGCATCGGTTAACTCATCGCTGATACGACCTTTATAAACCTTTCATTTTCCTGCAGATGTGCTATCGCGTGTTCGTTTCGTTAGGTATACGTACGGTGATCACGAGGATGCACCCACGACTTTCACGAAATCTTTCAATGACGCGGCTGTCCGCCGTTAATCAAGACATTATGCAACTCGCAATGCGTGACTCTGTACAAACAGCGGCGTTGTACGCCGACCCAATCGAAATCGCGTGGCTTTACGTATATTCGAACTTGAATCATCCTTGAACTGCACGTAACTTGCCTAATTAATGGAATTTAACTCGAATCTAGAATGAAATTCGAACTAATTTATATTCAACCAAGATCGAATATGAAGTTTAAAAAGAATCTAAAATTCAAACTAATTTCAACCAAACTTCAAAATCATAACAGTAATTTGCACCGAACATCAAAATCGTAACCCTAACATTAACCGAACACCGATTGAATTTATATATTCAAGTTCCTCCAAGATTTCTGCTGCGAGAAGAAGATAAAACCCGCAAACAGCCACAAATCCTTCAAAAACCAGGAACCTCCCGCGAAACTCCAATACTTTGAACAGCCAAACATTCCGCGCACGTAGTTAAAAAAGTAACGTAAATCAGCCCCCGTCGGGTCTATATATCTAACAATTCAATAATTTACGAGATGGAGGAATTTATCGACGAAATTACTTTGTTGTAGACCTCGACACGGTGTACACACGTCGACGATAAGATCCAGCTGGCTCGTTAAGCTATCTTCAGTGAAAATTACAATGAAACGTTACCGCGACGTGGGAGTATGCTCGTCTCGTGTATACACCTGAATAACGTCCGAGGCGCATGCCTTATCACGACACAAACACCGTACCAATTACTGTCATTACGCAACGTGCCACTCGAGCACCGGTTCCCTCGACACTTTCGGCATCGAGTACAGAGAAAACGAGTTCTCGATTCGACGAAACACGTTTCAACGTTCGAAATCTCGGTCGATTCTGTGTATGCACTTGGGCGACTAGTCGTGGCAAACAGGACGAAGTCTGATAAGTGATAAGTGACATCTCTATCTATTGTGTTCTCTTCTAATCGAGAAACGTGTTTGATATAGCCACTGCCAGCAGCTTCGTTCAAAAGATTCCTAACTGCTTACTAGTTTTATAATAACAACAGGTGTATATTGTAAATTCAGGGGCTTGGTGGAAGAATTGCGCATGACACAGTACTATAAATTTGCACAACAACTTTCAGAAAAAATAAGGTTAGAGCTTGTTGATGGTACAAAAGAGTAAATAACGACGTAGATGTGTCATGTGCTCTTTTTTCACTTAGCCCCTCGATTACTGGAACTTGTTGAATCGTTGATGTATCTACAACACGAGCTAGTATACAAATTGGTCGTCAGTTTAATTTAATTTAAAAAATAAAATAGTGGTCAGTTATCACTAATCGAACGAACACGAGGTATTTAAATACAAACACAATATTTTACACTGTACACTGTTCCTACTTTCCTTTGTTCTTCTTAACACTTCGATGACGAACGACGTAGTATTATAATACGTCTTTACAAAAACAGAAACTAATCGCGGTTGACGTAGTAGTACGTCTTTCTTAGATAAAAACTAGAATAGTAAAAAACCAGGGAAAAATCGTTTTTTCTATTTATAACGTTCGACAAATAAAAGTTAAGTCCCTAGTAGTTTCTAAATATTTTCAGATCACCTGGAGTTGTAGATTCGCAAACACAAAGACTAGCGAAGTGTTAACGCGTCAAAAAAATTCTGTTATTATTCGAGGTATCCCTGAACGGTACCACCGCCAACAATCTCCAAAGAGTGAAGGAAAAACCGCAGGTAAACAAAAAAAAAAAAAAGAAACCCTGCGGAAGAGTGGGTGGTGCACAAGAGTAGCAAAAATGGCTGGATATAATTCGGCTCGATTTGAATTGCAATAACCTTCGACCCGGTTTTTCATTGGTCACGCGAACACGCGATTCATCCCCCCGTGTCTCACCCCTCGAACACCCGATGATGATGATGATGATGATGATGTAGCACACACCTGTCGCGAATTCTCCGGTTCCGGACGCACGGCCCACTGGACTTTTTTTTTTCTTGTTTTCTTCGCCAACGTACGAGAAACCGGCTCGAGGTAGGAAAGTGGTATAAGAATGACTACGAACGGCACGAGAAAGCACGTGGCCAGCCGGTTTCCGTGAGACCCGTGACGAGAAGATGTACACGCGACGAGAGCTCGCTGCTCACTGAACCCACAATGGCGCGCGCGGGCAACCTTATCCCTACCTTTAACCGCCCACGGAACCTCCCCGACTCGCGTCCCCCACGCCAACCCTTGCCAAGCCAAGTGAATATTATGTATACTTGTCAACGATTGGCTCCGGCAGGTTTTGAATATGCGATTCGATTTTTCTTATTTATGAGGCCCCTTCTATTAACCGTAGCGATCTACAGCGACTCGTAAATATGTTCAGGAGTGGCTATCAGATTTATTCGACCAGACTAAAGTGGGATAATTATTGCCAGTGTCTTTAATACTGTCACTGTGTTTATTTTACTCGATAACAACGTAAGGTGTAAAGAATTGTGTAAGACATTTCATTAGTAAATTGGGACTTTGATTTATATGAAAATAAGGAAATATTATGTATTTGTGTGTACTTGGTAGTTAAAAATTATTGTTGAAAAATAAGAGGGAAATTTGAGTGTTGGAAACGCGAATATGTAAGTAGGAAGTAATGGCGAAATTATGAATTGTTACAGAATTTGTTTAATTTTTAAGGTGATAGTTATAGGGACACTGGGATTGCTCAGAGATTTTAATTAATTATGAATTATGTTTATTAAAACTACTTATTGAATAGAATGTGATCTACTACGATACAAAAAGAAAGACGAGAATTAATCAATTTAGCTACCAAAAGACTCAACTTCCGCGGTATCCATATATCCCACTGTACCCCAAAGCAGCTTTCAGCTTCGATAACACCTTAAAAAGAATACTAAAAAAAAAAAACCATCCAACAACAGTAACACAATTACCAAACTGGACGGAGTGGATTCAACTGTACGGGAGCACACAAGACAATCAAGGCCATCACCCCGGCCCGAGGAGCATCGTTCATAAATCCAGTCCCAACGCATTAATCAATTTAAGCCCGCAATTTCTATCGTCGTCGACGACAGCACAAAGTAAAGCTGCGACGGGGGAACGGGGCTGATTTAGCCCCGCGTAATTAATACTAACAACTGGTCCGTTCTAAGCGGTGTACGGCGGGGTTCGTAGTGCATATAACAACGAAGTACACCAGCGGATAACTCAAACGCGATGATGACTCTGACCGATGGGAAGGCAGCTCCTCTCCGGGGGCCTGGCGGCTGGCAGTAAATGCAAACGACTTGACCCGGGGCTGAAGATCGAACGAAGACAAGACACGTACCGCCCATCCTCTCTCTTCCTAGGAATAACTACCGAGTGTCTACTCGTGATGGTGCGCACGAGTGCATAAGCTGCACAAAGGAACTGTGCAAGATAGTAGGAAGGGGGTTGGTGTACGCCTGCAAATTCAATTACTCCCTCCCAACCATTTAGCGATGGGATCGAGACGCCACGCGGCTCCTCTGACCATCGACCAGGTCCAAAATTTTCAGTGACCACCTTTGAACTTCGTCTGATCACGACACTTTGTCGTTGACTTGTTAAAACAGAAATTAATGATACATGAAAAAAAAATTTTAATCCAATAAAAGGCAAAACTTTCGTTAGAATAGAAAGTAGTTCAAAGCATACATTCAAGTGGACATATTCTGTGGTGCGTTCATGATTTTGTACTGTTCTTCTCTATGTCATGGAAGCTCAAATACTGTTTTGTTAAAGGATTTTATACTAAAGAAATATCCACCAATCCCTCGTGTCGATCTGGATAAGGTACTATACATCCCCAGACCCATCGAGGAGAAATTCACGGCCCGTTCGAAGAAAAATAGCACTGCCGGTTTTTCCTGCGGTCGAAATGACATCTTACTTTCTTCCGATTCCACCGCGTCAACCATCCGCCGGAATCATTTCTCAAGGAAGAGTGCTGAGGTTTCGCGAAAATTCTGCCGTGCAGAACGAGAAACCCATAACTTCCGATATCGTCAATATAGCACCGTGGGTAATGACGGATCGTGTGTTCAGAGTACACGAATAATTCGTGACCGATGTAAACAGCCTCGTGTTACATTCTTTGTGAACCTAAGAATAGCTGTAAAATTTCTATTGATTCAGCCAAATGTGCTCGAGTCAAACGAACCTCTCTATTTCAAGATGAATGATTTCGAAATATTTAAACAAGTCACAGCAACACTGTAAATAACGAAGAATCATATGGGCTCGGTTGTAAGTTCGATAATGGGGGGAAAAAGGACAAAGACTGGAGGGAGAAGAAGAATCACGAAACCACCACATTTTTATGCTGCTCCGTAGGGTAAACAGCCCTGAACAACCAAATTTTCGACTGGTTCGACGAAATTTCGATGTTTGCCCGGGACTAGTCTGCATACCAAACAACGATTGAGATTCGCATCTCGCCGCGAAAACCCTCGGACCTTTTTTCTTTCTTCAAGGAGAGACCTTCCCTCCCCTCCTGCTACCTTCTGTACGCTCCACATGAGGTGCGCGGATTTTATTGCGATCTAATCTCTCGGACATTATTTCCTCGCCCTTAACGGCGAAGCGTTTTACCGACTCGAGCTTAAATTTCCAATTAACTTCGGCCCGTTCGCCGTCGTTCCCGCGGGAGCAGTTAAAACGTCAAATATATTCCAACAAGTCCTTAACTTTTCTACCAGATACAATCGAATCCCCCTAAAATCATTTAATATACACTCGGTAGACACTTAACGCCCGAGAATATTATAACAGTGATATCTACCTTGATATTTCAGAAAAAAAAATATATATATATATATATATACATATATATCTTCTAACACGTGCTGGTCGCGATTTAGAAATTTAATTGTCGGACGCATCGGAGTTGTATATTTCACGTTGGACCACCGTGAAGGCTAAATGATCAAATCTGCGCACTATATTCCGACACACCCCAATAAACAGATAACTGTCGTCACATAAATGGTACTATGGAAGATTAATTGCCACAAATCAGAATGACCATAATCATGGGCGTAGACGGAGGTGGCTGGGAGAGGCACTTGCTCCCTCTAGAATGAAAAAAGTGGCCTTTGCTCTACCCTTGAAGAAAAAAAATTGGACACCCCCAGAAGAGAAAAATATTACATTAATTAATATTTCGTATGTGAAAATAAATCTAAAATCCATTTAACCCGCTCACTGCATCTTTTTGGTATCTTGTACACAAAATTGTAGTCATTTTTTTTATAAAGAATGCGACTGCTCACAATAACACCGTCTCTAAACTATCGTAAATACAGCGATCCTCCCCCCCGATTGATAACTATGCTCATGGCCACAACCAACTCAAAAAGAAGAGCAGGTTAACCCATCTAATCCCCATTCAAGCCAGGGAGTAAAAAAAAAAAAGGATTCGCATATCGACGCTGGTAGCAGAATAAAATCGTGATTCCGATCTCGCTCGGGGGCTGATGGTCGCGCACAATCACATTTCGCGGTGTAATCTCTCGCACACAAGAGGACAGTGTGGATGGGGCAGGTATGGAAGGGCTAGGATACGCATCGCAGCCGTCTTTTTTACGACGGAACGTCCGTCGTCTTTCCATTTTTTGATGACGCCGCCTCTTAAAGTTTCGCACTAGGCGCGCAGGGATACGAGCAATTTAAATTTAATGCCGCTTTTACACCACCCCTTTCCCCCACTCCAATCCGGCCTTTTCTGCGCCCTTCACTCGTTCCCCATTCTCATACACACGCGCCTCGTTTCGCGCACGGTGTCCCGTCGAAACGGTGTCTCTCTCAATGCTTTGGCGATTTTTATCCGGAGATTGCGACTTCCAAGGGAGCAACCACGACCACCACATCTTTCGGCCTACTTTGAAGAGAAAGAAAAGGTATATATACGAGGAGGGAAACGCTGCCCGATCCATCTAGATAGTGTCGGCTGTGTCAACCACGGCCAACTCGCCTTGACCCGAAATTTTTATTCGTCTCGACCCCGCCTACTTCCAGCGACTCCCGGTTGTATGTATATGAGAACCAGCCCCTCGAGGTCGGGACCCCGGGGTCGCCAGGTGAAATTTCGAATCTGATGGAGAGATGAAAAAAAAAAAGGAAGGAAGAAATAGAAGCTTCGGATGAATGCTGTGGGGCAATGTCACTGTCTCTCCCCCCCCCCCCCCCCCCCCAAACGCTCGAGATGATACGTTTGGATGGGAGAAGAAAAAAGGGAGAAATAGGGGATGGATATTCTGGACTCTGCTTCATTATCGTTCACCCTTATAGAGACGTTGTGGATGTTAAGGACTAGTTTATTTCGATCCTCCTGTATGAGATAGTGTGAGATACTCGACGGTGTATTTATATTTTTGCAGGTATAGTCTCATTTACATACCGACTGTTGCACTGCAAAGTTAATTAAGCTCTGCTAGTAATAAATGACTACGAGTGAGTTTGTAATAAGGATAACCCTGTTCCTGAATGTTAAACGGAGCCACCATGTGCTCGCTAAAATTCCTGGAGCCTTTCGTAACGAAGGAAATGCACTGCTAGAGACAGTTAGGGAATACGTTATAACCTTAAGAAAAATAAAAGGACATTTATCAGAGGATCGAGACGGATCCCAGCGTGGCTCTACATCGCTGAACAATTCAGACCGCCGCCAACGTCAACTTCGAGGAACGAGTATTCGCCTTGAAGAGAAATTCTGTATTCAGTGGTGTCTCCTGGCGAGCTCGGAACAAGAAGCGAAATTTCCACCGGTGTTCACCTGTCTCTCGAACCGCACGATTACCCTATTAATAAATAACACGATGCAACCCCTGTATAGAGGCGACCATACGTTAGGTGAAACGATCGCGAAAACCATTTTCCTCGAATATCGGAGAGGAGAAACGATACGTTGACACGCGTGAAACGCGTTTCAACTAGGGTTCGCGATAAGCCCCCTTCTATTAAAATAATTTCGTACGCAACGACGCTGGGGGATCGGTTAATCGACGATATGCAAATCTCGATATCTGCGGCTCTCCTGGATATTGTGTAAACAGTGATTAAGCCTGGTTATAGCAGCGGTATCTGTTAACGTGATCGACG